ACAAAAAGCGACATGATTCGCATGTGGTAAGTGGCATGTGACAATGTCTGTCAATAAGTCACATCATTATGTTTAATTATGATTTGTTTGCATTTGCCTTAACTTCTGTTAATTACAAATATTTGATTTATTATTGTTGTAACGATGACAGCAGATACTGTAATTACAACGAACTATAAGTAGATGTTAAATTTCATTTAATTACACTGACACATTTACGTTGCGATTGAGTTAAATATATATAATTTATTCCTTTAATGCTTAAATGCTTATCAATTTATAAATGTAAAACAGGAATGTCTTTTTCACACACACAGAGATATGTTATAAATCTATAAATGCAGGAAGTGATTCCTGAGAAAAACAAAAAGCGTGAATCGTGAATATAAGTATACAATATTTTCCAATATAGGTATACTTTTAATTAATAGTATGATATATTTCCTAAAACCATTGATGATGAGTGCTTGGCAATACTCGAAACAGCCAAATTTTAACACATTAATTAAAATTTTTGTCTTTTCTTTGCTATTCGAATCCGTCTGACAATATTAATTTTTGTTCTTATTTGTTATCATTTATAGTTTTGTGTTGAGATTTCCTTTACAAACATTTTGACTTAAATATAATCCAACAAAATTACTCTAGCATATATTTTCAATTATTTAAATCCATATCTGTCCACAGTTTTTATCTAAAAAATGTTTATCTGCTGTGCGTTTTTGTTTCAAGGATTTAAACGCAATTCCTTTTTTACAGATTTTTTCCTCTATCAGTTTTGTCCACTTAGCATAATGGATGTGTCATAAACATTTTATCTTTGGCTTAAATTTATGCAGACGAAACCTTAAGTCAAAATTTGTGTTAGATACAATAGAAGAGTGATTTCAGGCAATTCGAGAGATTTCAAGTTAAATTTTCTTACAGGGGAGCACTGATTTCCTACAATAATATAAATTTGAATATTAAAGAAAATGTTTGATAAGAAGTTATATATTTGAGTTACAATTTGAAATTCGTAATATAAGAATTTTATTTAAATAAAATAAAGTACAGGTAATTCGTAATTTGTAATTATTAAATTTTATCATTTAATCCATATAATCCATATTTACGTATCTAAATATAATTCAAATTACTTAAAGGCGATATATTAAATTAAATTTTTTTAATATATAATTTATGTTTAATTTTGAAGCTTATGTAAATTTTATTAATATAATTTTATGTGATCTTCAAATAAAAACGACATTTAAATAAGTTATTAAATTATACACAAATTTTTTTTTATCATTTATATATTAATTTTTTTTAATTTATTTAATTTTTATATACTATATATGTGTGCCTTGAGATGTCATAAATTTTATAATCAATTAAGAATTAAAAGGAAAACGTAACTTATTTTTTTTAATATATTTAATTAATAATAAATACAGAATTTAAACATTTTCTGAAAAATGCAATAATGTTTTTTTTGGAGTTTTTCTTTACTAAAAAGAAAAAAATAAAATTATAAAAAATACCGACTTTTTTATTTGACTTCAATCGAAACTTTGACTGCAGTAGTGAAATAAATCGTGCAGGGTAGGCAAATATTGCCAATAAAAAAGTTTAAATAAAACCGAAAAATTTTCCATATACTCTTTTAATTTAAATTTTTATTTTATTATCTTTAATTTTTTACAAAAATAATTTTTATCGACGGCTTACGTACAATTACCCGCTGGGAAAATCCAACTTTTTCGACATTTGTTTGTTTAAGTACATAATATAAACATTGTTTATTTTTTTTTGGTTAAATTTTGTTGTAAATTTGAATTTACAAATCATTTTATTACCTTTTTTATTTTAACAATATATATATTAATGCTTTATGGTTTGCAAATTGACGCGCTTATAATTTTTAATGATTTTTACAAGTTCATTAGCACAAAAATAAATTATTAAATCTGATGCGATTTTTAAGCAAAAGTTTCATATATTTTCATCGATATACCAGAACTGCAATTAAACTTTATTTATTAAAAGATATTAAATTATATATATTTGTAAAAAATTGAATATCATACAGCATATTATTGTATATTTAATCCAAACCTTGATGTTATAGATATAAAAAAAAAAAAACCAATAATTTATTTATTGCATATTCTCATTTCAATGTATTTTTTCTTAGATATATTTATGTTTCAGTGACATAGAAAATAGTCCTTAATTCAGTAACTCAGTAGAAATCTCGCTTCACTTAAGTATATGGGTTATTCTTTTACAAATCGGACACCTTCTTGAACTCATCATCTCCAATTTTATGAGCCTTTCTCATATGAGTCTTCTTCATAAGAAGACCCGTATCTCCGGAAAATCCTAGGAGATATGGACCTTTGGGATTTTAAGAATTAGCATTGCAGACACAATTCTAGATAGCCATATCTCAGGCTATATAAATGATGGAAACTTGTAATTTATTGGGTTTTAAAGATAATTGATTATTTCTTTTAAGAATTTATTGAGGGCATGGCTTTGTAATTATCGCCAGAAGTTGGAGTTTTGAGCACAAAGAAAAGTATGCAGACTATTAATATATTTTCTTTAGTTTCACATAACATGTTTCCCCTGACACAGATGGAAGCGAACGATGGATATCTCAATTATTTATTTTTTTAGTTATTCATATATTTATATAGTTAATTTTCAATTTTTGTTTTATTTATTTATATATGTATTTATTTAGTCATTGAGTTTTAGTTATTTTAGTTATTTGTCTATATGTGGGTAGAATATGCCATAATTTTTTAGAGAGTTGTAGGGCTAAGTATATCTACGGCGTTCTTTTCGAATGGCTAGCTACCACTGTGCTCCAGGTATTGTCATTAAATAATATACTGAGAGCATGGCTTTGTAACTATGATATGGTTATGAGGTCATGAAAGTGACAAAGCGCCAGAATCTAGAGTTTTGAGCACAAAAAAAAAATGAAGAAAAATATGTAAAAATAATTCGGAAAAATGGTCTATTCTCTAAGTAGAAAATTGTCCTGAGTCCTTAAGCACAAAAAAAACCATGAAGAAAAATATGAAAAAATAATTCGGAAAAATGGTCTATTCTCTAAGTAGAAAATTATCCTGAGTCCCTCTTCAAAACGACTTTAGTACACTATAAGCTTCATAAATGGTACAATATTGGTTATTATAGTTTAGTATTATTTTACTGTAATATACTATAGTCATTCTGCAACATTTTGCATTCTTGAGGGGAATTTCCCCAACACAATGTCATGAAATACAATTTTTATAACTGGATAATGATGTGAATACCTTTCTTGGATAGATTTGAAGACAATGTTGATAATTTTGATAACTGTTTGGTGATGAGAATACTGTCCACGGATAGTCTTGAGAGGAATATCATCAACACAATGTCATGAACTACAATTTTTACAACTGGGCAATGATGTGAATACTTTTCTTGGATAGATTAGAAGAAACTGTTAAATACAAGTTTGACAAATAGATAAGGATGCGAGTGCTGTCCTCGGATAGATTTGAACACAATGTTGATCATTTTGATAACTGTTTGGTGATGAGAATACTGTTCAGTCTTAAGAGGAACGTAATTAAAACAATGTTATGAGCTACAATTTTTACAACTGGGCAATAATATGAATGCTATTCTCGGATAAATTTGGTGACGATATCGTTAAACACAAGTTTGACAAATAGGCGGTGATGCGAGTGTTGTCGGAGTGTTGGATAGATCTGAAGACAATTTGGACAAATGGGTAAAGAAGCGGGCATTGTCTGCGGACGGTCTTTAAGGCAATGTTGTCCAGAACAATTTGGACAACAGTTTAGTGTTGCATACGCATTCCTTCAACCGTGTTGAATTAATATTAAACCACCAAAAGGTGATTCCAGCAACTGGCTTGTTAATAATCATAGATAAATAAAAGTTTGTTTGTTTTTCATTAACTAAATTATGTTTATGATTTAACCATTATAAATTAACAATTAAATGCTATAAATATAAATGGCATCTTTGGAAATTTTAGTTAATTAAAAAGCAATAAAGTTCTTGAAATAAATTTTATTTATGATTTACAAAGAAATATATTACTTCATTGGTTCTTAATTTACACCCTGAATGAGTCAGAGGATTTTGGAACCCCGCCGAAAGTGTGTCAAATTTTAGGTTGAAAAATATTTTTTTTTCGATTTAAAAATAAAAACATAAACAAACCAAACTTGTAAATTATTTAAATAAAAGCTATTAAACAACTTCGAAATTTGAACTTGAAACGAGTTTCTTAATATATTTCCAAAAATTTTTTTTTACGATTTTATTTATTTACAGATTTCAATAAAAAAAATTTATTGTATCTCAGAAAATTTGAAAGTTGCGTTTACGTATTTGTACAATGACATCGGCGCGTTGCATTGACGCTTGCGCAGAAAGTTCACTGTACCGCTTGGGTGTTTTGGGTGTACCGCTTTGCGTTTGCAAAGATCGACGTGCTTGCATTTGAAATTCGCTTTCCGCTTTTATCAGTTCAATTTTTCAAAATTTTGATTATTTTGTCTTCGAATTGAAATTAAAGATTTTTAAAGATTTTTTTTTGCAAAATTCGAAACAAATTAAAAAGTTTCAAACCGGCTTAGCAGCACTAAATTTTGTGTTGTGTAAAATTTTTTGAAATTTATTTGCTTTTTTTTGTGTACATCACCGAATGTGGCTTACTTTTCAGAAAGAAAGAATTTTTGTTAAAAAATATAAAGCACGTCAAGAATTTTAGTTAGACATGAAAGAGTTCTGACGAGATAAACAACAAAAGCGGCTAAATCAACAAAAACAGTGAAAAGTGTATCTCAGATATTGCATCTTAAAATTTTTCGTAGAGAAAACTCACAATTTAGCAGTGAAAATTGATTGCAAAAATTTAAAGATTCTAAAAAATTCCAAAAATATTTAAAATATTTAAACATTGAATATTAAATAATATTCATTTAAAGTAAAAAGTTACCATAAAAACAACATACAAAATGGTAAAATATAGAAATTGTTTATATTAAAAGATCACTATATTAATTTATTTTTATGCAGAAAATATTGTTAAGCTTGGCTTTGCTGTGTGCCGCCATAGCTTTTGCTGAACGAACTTATGCTGTCTCGGAAAAATCGGTTGAAGATACAAATGTAGATGCAGTAGATGCACAGGCATCGAACATTGAAGAAATGACACATAATGAAAATTTCGACATGATCATGCCGGACTACTTTGATCAGCATCCTGCCGCATCAATGCAATATCAAAATTTTGAAAAATTTTTCGATCCACAAATGACTGACAACAACAATGAATACAAAATGGATGAAAGTCGTATACCTTTGGGAATTCCAATGCGTGCACCACAACCATTATCACCGGAAGAAGAACGCATACGCATGATGAAAGATGAACCAATGGACGAGAAACGTCATCGGCGCATGTTGCAAAAACTAAAGAAGGGCTCAACTAAGCCACGAGGTGGCGGCAATCAATGGGAGCAATTCGATTATGATTTGTATAGTGTAAATCCGGGTAATAACAAAAAATATATATCCGGTTAGGTACTGTGCTAGTTTGTTAAAGTTTATTTATTTATTTATTTTAATAATAATAAGAAGTGTGTGTGATAGAGATTTCCTGTTGAAATAAAATATTTATTATGAAAATATCGTATTTCATTTGTATTGTCTAATAATATAATTGTTCATTTCTTTCAACATTTTTAAAACTCCATTGCATGTTAAATAGCGAAAGTTGCTAAATTATTTAAAAATTTTGTAAACAAATAAACAGAGACTGGGGAGATAATAAAGAAAAAATTAATTATGCCAAATTGCTCAAAAGATAAATGACCAGTCAGTCGCTGGCGTTAAAATTAGTCTTGCTGTTTCGAATTTGTTAAGTTAAATATGCAATAATTTAATTTATTTCTGACTCTTTTAGATTTGCTGTTTGTAGTTCTTGTAGGAATTTCCAAAATATTTCTGCTATATTAAAATACTTGAACAGTGGAGTGATATTGAAGAATTGTATAATGTTATAAAAAACGGATGAGTTATGGAAAATTTACCGACGATCAATATTAAGAGGGGATACAGTTAAAGATATATTCTTCTTTTAATGACTTAGAGTGACTTCCAAACTTATACTTCTTACTTAATAGTAATACTTGTCTTATTTCTAGGAGTTTTAAGTAATTGTCGGATAAGATTAATTCATCTAGAACTAGCTTTATTTGTTGCAACAGTGCAATACCTTTACAGTACACAAGCGTAATAGTCTCTTCTACTTTTCTCACTCTAAGCAATTCCCAGTTTGTTTAGTTTTTTTAAACGCGTATAAGTATATTCACAGTTTGTTTATGTGACAGTTTACTTTATAGTGTTCTGTAAGAATTTTTGTTGTAATTTTTAAGTGACTTGTCTTTAAGTACAAAGAATCCTCATTAAGATCCACGCTTTAGGCGCCTATAAGCGATCTGAAGAGCGATTTATGGGTATATATTGTACATTATAAATTTGAGATTCTTTCTATATAATATTTTATATAAAATCACTAATTTACCATTTACTTATTAAATAGCTTTTATATGTTTTAACAATGTACTTCAACAATGCACACAATGTACTCCATTTTCTATTTTCATGCATTTTATTTGTCGACTTATAACCATTAACTCCTAAAAATTAATTAAACATTTAATTCACGTGTACGTTTTCAATCAATTGAAACTTTGTTATTAAGCAAATTGTCGATTTAGAAAGAAAAAATTATCATTATATATAATCGTTATATCACACTGTTGATGAGTACATCCTTTGGTATTGTATAATACGTGTACGATAAGTGCTTCACTGCATTGCACACATTTCAACAAATCATTATCTACATCGTAATCATATTTGACTTTGGAACCTATATTAAATTATTAGTTGTATCAGAATATATCTCTAGTCATCCATATTTTTCGTAAACATTCTACAGTATCTTACATTTATATTTGTGGTATCATTGTCGACACAATTTATTCATCTCAGTAATGGACTTACTCTGCCACGTTGTCAATAGCTCTTTGCTGGTAATATATCTCATACTGGACATCCATTGCTTGATTCATTTATAGAAATCTCTATCTTTAGATTTATACGTTATTATAGTTGCAATATCTATTTCCTTATACGGGTTTTTTAACTCATCGTCGCATTGGTATCTCCAAACTTCGTTCACTATTACTGGATCATATACCCTTCTAAGCACTTTTATTTTCTCATCGCTTTAATACAAGGTACAAATCTCACCGGCGTACATAAGAACTGGGGATATTAGGATTTAATTTTAATTAGTAATTTAGTTTTATATTACAAATTTAGTAATTAATTTTCTTGTTAAGTTTAAATAAGTTTTGTTTGTGTAAGTATTCTTTGATCTATTTTTTTGCTATTTCCTCGGAATAATCTCAATTTATATTACACATCAGTTATATACAATGCTACATTAGGTTTGAATTTTTGTCTATTGTTGTTCTTATTGGGTTTTGGTTTGTGTTCTATATTATAAGTATATACATTTTCTGTTTTCTGCTCCTTAGGACAATACAAATTTATTTAATCGAATCTTTGCCTATATATATATGGTTATATTTTTATTTCCATAAGTATAGAACTTTTGTTTTCTCCTCGTTCCAAGACCAATATTATCGGCAGATTTGAATGGGTTTAGATAATGTTCTTGTAGTTTTAGCTCAAACCTGCGCTTATTTAATCAATTATTGAAAACCATTGCGCTTTGAGTGTCCAATTTAGGGAAATATCAAAATTGCAGGGTCACGTATCTGTGTGGATTATGTGATATTATGTTTCAACTCGAACTGTTGTATAAGTAATGCATTATTAGACAGGTGATAAGTGTTTCATATCCATGGGTAGGTAGCTGAAGTACATTGAGGATCGAGTCCTTATTAATTAGAATAGAAACCTTTTTTGATTTTATAATTCACATAATTCATGTCTAAAATACTTGTAATAATAGCTGTGCATGAGTGTTATGATATCCTTATTTCTTTTGTAAACTTTCTAATGGAAATTTTTCTATCATCAAATGTAATATGTTTAATGTTTTTCATATTTTTATTAATGATATTTATTTCGGTAATAATACATCTTTAATTAAGTACTTACATATATTAATTACTCATTTTTAACATTTACTAAATAATTTATTATAATTGATTCTATTACATATGCTAGGTAACATTTGCAAAGTTAATAGATGACCTAATTCTTCGAATATCCATGATCTTGTCTAATATACTGTTATGAGCCAGTTCTATAAAAGATGTTTTCTATACTCTTTATCTCGTTGTTAAATCAGTTTAAAGTATAATTTTGACGTACTTTGTACTGATTTTTTCAATAAACACCACAATCAACTTTTTCTAATTAATTAAACTGCTTTTTAAGTATTTTAACAGTTTTTAATTTCCATGAGCTCTACATCGATTAAGAAATTTAGAACAAAGAATGTACTGATGTTAGGTATAGTATAAATTGTTTTAGATTTGTATTTCGTTTGTTCTTAATATAAGTTATTAAGCGAATTTTTATTACTTGAAACGATATAAAAAGAATATGTAAGTACTTAGAAAACTTTCGGAAATAAAATTTATTAAAGAATTATTTCCTGCTACTTGAAGAAATTGACACGAGTTCTGAAAGATTAACTAATGGGATTTTTTTTTAAATTTATTCATTTAGTGATATTTGCATATTTAGAGACGTCAGAAATAATTACAGATGTTCAGTGGCGTAACTACATTTTTTAGGCCTATAAGCATATTCTAACTAAGGGGCCCCTACTAACATTTTTCTATACCCTTTACACGAAAAAGTGTAAAAAGGGTATATAAGGTTTGTCAAGGTTTTTGTAACGCCGGAAACGTCGGAAATACCATAATGTTTATATCAGTATAGTATATATATACTTTTTCAGTTCAAACTACTTTCTCAGCTTTTGAACTCTTTCAATAAAAATTTACACACATACTTTTCGGAAGAGAACCCTCTTCACCATTTAATTTAATTGAAATTGGACTACTATTTCTTATGGCCGCCATATAAACTTAACAATCGGATATGAAATTTCTCCGTTTTTAATAAAGGTATTCGAATGAAATTTGGTATATACTGTTCTTATATTTGCATTATATTCAAATGGGTTTAAATCTAGATATAGCTTCCATATAAACTCACGATTCAGACACATAATTTTCTTAAAAAAAAGTTTTTATTTTATAAATAGCTATAACATTTTATTTGAAGTACATGTATATTATGTACTTTAAATTTAAAATTTAAGTATCTTTTATAAAATGCAATATGGAGTAGGTGCAATATAGAGTTATTCCAACAAAAAACGTTTCGTCCCACTTTTGAGAATTTATTAAAAATAAATACAATGAATACATAAATTTATAATGGGGCCCCTAAATTCGGGGGCCCGAAAGCGTTGCTTCCAGTCGCTTCCCTGTAGTTACGCCACTGCAGATGTTGGAAATTGATGAGAAAGAGCTACTTTATTGTTTCGAAAATATTTCTTTTTTATTAAGTAATTGTTTTAAATCAAACACGTATCATTAATATTATAAAAAGAATCTGAAGAAAATAAGTATTGAATAATAGTGTGCAATTAATAAAGAATATTAATTGTGATTACAAAAATTTTACATTAGTTGAGTGTGATTTTATGAATTATAAAAAATTGCATAATAATTTTTAATATGAATCAATAAAATTTATTTTACAAACTTTAGCTAGATTAACTGTTTTCTTTAAGAGTTTAAAATATTTATTGCACAATTGAAATAAATCACTAATTGCTGGTTTCTGATTTATAATTAAGGTAATCTTAAAGTTTATTTCTATTTTGCTGCATAAAACTTTTATGGTAGCTATATACAATGTGAACATAATATTTAAATTTTTAATATTAAAAAATATTTTAATTTTAATATTTAAAAACTAATTACAATATTAATTGCTATTTAATGTTTAGTGACTAATTTTTATGAATATTTGTCGATCTACACGATTAAAAAGACAATTTAGGTATATTGTAATGTGTGTTTAATGACTTGAGTCTCATATTTGATCCACTGTTTATATATAATATTTTAGAAGTTTATTTTATAAAACTATATATGGTAGCTATAAAATAATATCGTAGGTAATAACATGTACCAAAGAAAGATATAAATAAAATAAATTAATTTGTATCCAATTTTCTTATGGGCTATTATTTCAGTTTTATTGTCATTTAAAAAAAAACTCGTAGTTTCCATATAATCATAAAATTTAATTTAAATTTATGTACTATTTACAACAACTATAATATATATAAATACAAATATAAAAAAAAAAATAAAATAAATATAATAAAATATATATAAATGCTATGAATTAATATAGCATTTGTATTAATTTATTGTAAATTAATTTTGGTCTTAAAGACTTTAAAGGAGATTATGTTTTAAATAAATAATTTTTTTTTTTCTGACACCATTTATTTATTGTACATTTTTATACTATAAGAAAAACAATAAGTATTTCATACTTAATACTAACATTAATTTTATTATTATCAAGCCTTGAGCGGCGTCATACGATTTCACGATTTCCATTGTCTTATCAATTGTCACTGACGCTATTGTGGGTGTTTCTACTGGACCCTGCGTTAATGTTAATTTCGTGTAATGTAGATCTTCTCCAAGTTATTTTCGAAAGGCCTCTTCATCTGTTGCTTTGTGTAGGTGAATAATAGATAATTTTTCCAATAATTACTAACAAAACTGACTAAGAAAGGGGTAAATATTACTTTTTTTGGTTGTTTAAATCTAATTAATGAATGGACGATAAATTATTTTTAAATAAAAAATACTAGATATAAGTGAAAGATTTCTAGCTGAGGGATTAATGTATTTAAGAACATTTCTTTTGCAATATACATATATATCGACAATGAAAGAAGTACCATTTTATCGTTCTATATTATAAGATGTTTTATATTAACTACTGTGGAAGCTACGTTCCAGTTCAACATTCAATCATTAATAGCTTTATTTTTATACTAATCATTTACCTTTAAATTTTAGTGCTGCGATTTTTTATTTAAGCGCTACATAAAAGTACTACAATTTTTGTGTTGCAGTTTACAGAGAATAAAGCAGAAATAGTAAATGTTAATAGTATTACAGTAAAAATTGATGTGGACGAAAAGCATTGTTGTAGTACTTAACTAAGAATCTAACCTGGTCTTACAAATGCAAAAGCTTTAAATATGTATTGAATCACTAAGCTTTTTTAAGTCATGACTAGTACAGTGGGGTTCCTAGAACATTGTTGGTTCCATCTCAGTGTCTTAGTCAGTCTAATTTACATTTCTAAATTTCTTCTGTTGCTCTAGTTTGGATAATCGGAAAATACAGAAAAACCAAAAATTGGATATTCTTTAAGTTCATAAGATGTACAATATTAGTCGTAAACAATTATTTATAAAAGTCTGACTGTATTGCGTGTTATTCTTCCATGTTAAAACGCTCCCATAGAATAACTGCTCTTAAGTTTGTATTGAATATGTGCAATATTGTAATAGTTTGCATGTGGATTCAGTGCATGTCTTTTTAAGTTGTCGTAACCTCTTCTTGCTATATTGATTCTGACAATAACACCTTTTTATTCAACAACTCTATTTAATGCTTTCGTGATATGTTATTGTTTATGGATATTAGAGTTCCTCCATATCTTATTGCATGAAAGTCGAATCTCAAACTCATTTCGCTTATCCTGGTCTTAATTTTACTTTACTAATTTTTTTGACGATCTGCAAACAATTTACGTATAATGAATTTATGTTAGGCTACTTCGAAGTTTGAAACAATTATGGCAAAGTTCACATCATTAGCATAATCCAAATCATCTAGTTTGCGATATATGTCCTTTAGAAACCATATAATTAGACCTAACGTTGTCGAAATGGTGTGCCCGACTCCTTTACATTAATGTGCATCAATATGCAGTATATGGACTAAAATACTCTCTCTTCATCGTGACTTCTGATGGTGCTTCCGTTATTTGGCATCTTTATAGTACCATAGATTTGAAGCAGAATGCTTCGGAGAGTTGTTCAGTATATTTAAAGCGGCATGAAGCATCACTAATAACAAAATTTAATAAAAAACGCTATGGAATATTTGAAGCTTCAATATTTTTTGTAAGAACTACTACACCAAAACTTTCTTCACAAAAAACTCTTCCATCTGCACTAAAAACATAGACGATTTGGGTATTATTTTTTTAAGTGTAGATATTCTTCTTCTGTGTGGTTATGAATGGCAAAGGCGTTTACTAAGAAAATGATTTTGATCATTTTTATAATTTAAAAATATTTTTATATATTCATAAAATAGACGTATTGTTTGTAACAGGTTTGGATGTGATTAATTGTTGAATTTTTTAATGTGTGAACTTCGAAACTTGTTTTAAAAAAGCGATCTTTTTAATTTAGAAATACGTCAGTTAAACATTTAGTACTAATATTAAAGTAAAAATAAATTTAAATTTGTATTAATAATTTAAATTACTCGATTTGGATACAATTAGAGAAATATTTAGTATTTTAAATGATAAATATATATATATAAGTTTTTAAATCTATTTTCATTAAAATTCTTTAGATACCATAATATTTCATTTTTAGATTATTTTTTATAAATTATTAAGTAAAATACATATATTATTATTAAAATAAAATATACATTTATTGACAACAAATTTGATTATTGGTTATTTCATTGTATATTGTCAATTTGCTGACATCAATATTATCTGGTAAAGTGTAATTTGATTGGAAATAACTCTTGTCAGCTTCGATTTCTTTATGTGCATATAATCTGCGTAATGATGGACGATTATGTTTTCTTTTCAATAATGCTGCATCGATTGCTTTGGACTCCTTCTCATGACATGAATCTAATGAATTTTTATATTTGCGGTGCAATTTAAAATTATTAATACGATGTTTCGCTTTGTGTTCAGAGCCAAGTTCCTGATGCTCAAATGTATCATCAATGCCAGGTAAGTTAAAGGGTATGAGTGGCTTTTCGTAGAAATATCCCTGAAATGTATTAACTTCAGAATTCACATTTTGTTCGATATCTGCATACGTTCTGTTGATGGCAGCGATGTATAAACACTAATTAACATAAATTTTTTTTCAACATTAATTATACAACATTAATTATATTAATTATATAACAACATTAATATGTAATATAAATTATTTACCAAAAATATAAATAACTTCATTCTGTACTACTTGAATTTTGTCTAACAATTCGCGTGTTTTCAATCCCAGTTCTTTTCTGTGACTGAATGGTTCTATACGTAACATAATTTTTAGGTGATTTACAAAATTGGAAGTGATAATTATTTTAATACAACAATAAAAGACCCATAAAAGTATGAATTCGAATCACAACTAGTATTTTGTGTACACTGTATAACAAAATTTACTCGCTAAGAAACTTAAACTGACGATAGATTTTTTCACATGTGGTAAAGCCATTTGAAATATGGTTAGTATCAAAATTTTTATCTAAAGCTGTAAAGATGTATAGATATATAAAATCAAACTTTCATTAAAACGTACAGAACACCTACAGTCTCTTTAACTTTATCTGATTCTACTAATATTCCATACGGGTATATCACCCGCATGGAATATTAGTTTCCTTAATATGAATTTATTAATATTTATTTAATATTAATTTTTAATATGAAATTTGTATTGAAGAATATTGGTTCCTTATTCACTATATTCTTCACTTCTCAGCGTCGCATCTTTCATTTTTCACTTCTGCCTGTAAAGCTTTAGTACTGTAGTAATATATACTATTACTGTAGTATACTAAATTTCTTGATAACACTGTTTCCAAAACTTTTCTTTCTTTTATAAGGCTTAAAACAATTCTGAATTTGTGATATCCTCTATTCATTCGATTTTAGGTATTTATGGATAACATTACAGGCCGACGGTCTCAAATAGAGTTTTTCATCCACAATAGAACCACTGTTAAAATATGATAAATTGGAATTAAGTCAATTGTTTCTCTTTTTCTTTTATTGTTTTTTTTTATTAGGAGAATAGGTTATTCAACTTTGCAATTAGATCTAGTCTAATTAAATATATTACCATCTTTGGTAGATCATTACTTTTGAATATGTGACGTTCTATAACTTACCAAAGGATAGCAATTACAATCTAAATACTGGTAATAGTTTTGAGTAATAAATGGCTTTAGATAGTTATAATAATTTTAGTAGAATCACATACATTTTAGTTTTTGTTGACGTCTAAATTAGAAATTATATTTCTCTGTCACAAAGTGCAAAATATGCCAGTAAGTATTGTTTAGTGTTCTGAAACTATTGCGAATAGGATACTAAGTTTGATGTTTAAACTCTCTAACTTTCAAATTTAATTAACAAAATTTTAGTTTCTGTATTTTTAAGTTATATTGATTTCATCATATGAAAAGAAAAGTTACAGGCCATTGAACTCCGAAACATGTTTTGAAGATAATTTACTTAATTTAATAATTTGCAAAAATAAAAAGTTTACTTCAGATTGACTAAAAATTCCTCATATATTATTTAAAATGATTTAGTTAAAAAAGAAAAATAAATATTGTTTATAAATATATAAATCTATCTCAGCGTATACTAGAGGGTATTCTTTTAAAACATTCGAAATGTACAGGGCAATCAAATTTGTATCAGATACTTTTTGAAAGTCAGGGCGGTTATTTTTTTCTGATTAGAAGCTAGATTGTTATTTAAATTAAGTATTGTTTGACTAAACATCAGGGAGAGGTCCACACTTGCACAGAGTATAGAAAGAGCAAATTAAAGCATATCATTGATTATTGGATAAACTATTTTTAGAGACGAAATTCATTTACAGTTAAGAGACTTAGTATAGTCTTAATAAAGAAATTCCTGTTTGGCTCTTCTTTAGAGACACAACCACGACAAATGTCATTTTAGGGTAGACTTCACTAAGTCTACCCTAAACTAGGAAGACATGCTAAGACATTTCTTAGCATGTCTTCCTAGTACGTTCCGAGCTGTCTATTTTAAAACAAAGTTTACATTAATTTCAGAAACAAAATATTTAATATAAACGTTAGTATAAAAAGTATAAATTACAAGAAGTGGGTTCCTGAGCTGTCAATATCGATACCATAGAGCTGATCAGATTCTGCTTTAGTGGAATTAAATAGATTCAATATTAACTTTCTTTATTTAAGTTAATACTACATAAAATGAACCAACACTTCCAATGCTTTTAACGTTTCTAGAATTATGATTTGTTGAACGGTTTTATAGAAAGTTGAAAAATTTCATATACGATTACCTGTATATAAGTGTGTCGCAACATTTTTGTGCAACATACTTGTTTCGCGTTATTATATTAAATATCTTATATATTATTATTAATTTAGTATTAATTGCTTACTTCACTATTTCTTTTTTTTTTAAAGATAAATTTAATCACATGTTTTACTTAATTCCAATTTTTCTGATTATATTTGAGACAATAACAAATTTGCATATATTAAATCGTTAATAATACCACATAAGCAATTCATGTTGCCCAGCTATTTGAAAAAGCTATCAATTATGTATGTAGCTCAATGACAAATGTTGCGCAGCATTGTTGTGATACTTTTTGATATGTTTACAATGCATATTTTTTGGAGTCATTAGAAATAAGAAATTTGTTTACGTTTCAAAACCAAAAATAACCAAAAATAACAATATTTTTTTATGGCAAACTTTAACGTTGTTCATTTATTTAAATTTCAACAAGATTATAAAAAAAATCATTTTTAAAAATTTTTCTACAACACTTTTAACAAAAATAAATTAATAATAACAAAAAGATTAGATTTTGTAAGAAATATGTTTCACTCCACAAAAAAGTACGAGTCTTTGTTTTTAATTATATATATCATTTTGTACTATTTCAGAGTATTCATAAAGGCGTCGGTTTTTGGGTCTAACTTCAGATAATTCTGGTTTTCGATAATATGAACCACCAGCGTAATCACGCGAATCTCCTGCTATTCCTGCAGCTATTTTCTGACATTTTTCTGAAACTGGGGTTACAATTGCACGTGCATCGCTTACAATTTTTTGATGTTGTGCATCCACTTGACCTGGTCCCATAGCAACATTTTGACATTGTACACCATAGCTGCCGCAGTTATTAATATGTCGCGTAAAGCTGCGAGTATCACCATTAATTTGTTTATATGGATAGAAATCTAGAGCTGATGCTTCTGATTGTGACACGTAGTCACCTCTGTTACCAGTTTGTTGTTGCAGTTGTGATTGTTGGGATGAAGTTCCACCGTATTGTTGTGCGCCAGCATATGCAGGTTGAAGTTGCTGTTGGGGAGCATAGGAAGTTTGTGCATTGTTATTATAATATGTTGGCTGTTGTTGCTGTAGTGCTTGGACATGTGCATTTTGAAGTAATGGATTTATATTTGCGCTGTATTGTGGCTGTATTGCAGCAACATTTTGTGTTTGATAAGCGGTATTATGTTGTGCAACATTTGCATTGGCAGCATATTGTGTCTGTGTATTGTAAACATTGCGAGCAGCATGTTGTGCGTAATTTTGATTCACTGCTGCTGTTGTGAAATGTGCTTGTCCGCCAGGATTTACAGGTATGCTAGGCACTTGTGCAGGGGGTAGGTAGTTATTAACTGGTGAATTGTAATGTGGTACATTATTTAAAGGAATATTATAGGCAGCGTGATGGGGTGTATGATGGCCCTCAAAAATTCGCTGTGAACTAATCATTTGTACTTCATAACGTTTTCCACCTGTATGTATTATAGTTGTTTTAGGTTGTTGTGTTCTTTGTGGTGGAACTAATCCTAATATTTGCTGCTGTGGCTGTTGTGGTTGTTGTGATAGTTGTGGCTGTTGTGTTCCACCGGACAAAAAAGGTCGTTGCGGTTTTTGATAATGATATTCTCGACATTCTGTTATATATATAATGTGGATAAGCACTAATCCAAAGCCCTAAAATGTTTTTAAAAGAGTTATTTCTTTTTAAATAGTTAAGTTTAAAACAATTCGTAAATTATAAATTACCAACGAAAACGACTTCATTTCTAGTAATGTATATTAATGAAATATTAATGTTTTAGAAAAGCGCTGCAAAATCCAAGTACGTTGTTTTCACGCTCGTAGTTAAAATATTAATGATGCATGCATAAAAGCAATAAAATGTTTAAGATCTACGAAATATAACATTAAAGAAAAAATAATAAGAGATACAATATTTTTACATGAATTTTAAAAAATTAACAAAAAAAAAAACAAACACAAGCCAAATGTGATAAGCAAATCCAGTACAAAACTACAAACTCAAAATGCATAAAATCAACCTACGAACTTTTGCAGATGCACGAACTTCAAAGCGTACGAGTAGACAAAAGTGGTTTTAATGACTTCCCCGAAATAATTTTTGGAAAAATTAATTCATTTGTAGCAAAATTTTTTTTTTGAGAGTTACTCGAATTAATAGAAACTTAATAGTAATAAATTTACCACTATATAGATGCGCAAAATGTTTTTAAATGAGATAAAAATTAAAACAAGAAAAACATCAAAATTGCCCTAATCAAATTATAATAAAAAAATCTTTAAAACCTAAAAACGCAGAAACTTGTTTTACGTCGAACGCATATCTTTTTAATGTCTTTTCAAATCTCAAAGCCAAGAGACAGTAGCTTACTTTTCTTGTCTTCAAACTCAAATTTAGCTTAAGCCAACTCTTTGAGAGTCGATTATCAAAATCAAGTTACTAGCTTCGTCATTATAGTAATTCAATAAAATTTCTTCATCTGCAGCGCTGTTTGTCCACCGGCGAAAAGTGTTACAAACTCATTCATCAAAGTTGAGATACAAACCACAAACTCAAGCTTCAACAATTGTCAGTAGTAGTAAAAAAACGAGAAGATAAAAAACACTTGCGTTGCTTACACAGCACACAAATTGATGTTTCAAATTATCAACTGAAATTATTCATCTTTGGATTTTGTTAAGCTCCGATTCATTATGTTTTCACAACTTAAGTACAACTTGTATCTTTTTTCGCTACGCGTTTTTAATGATTTAACAGAAAATTTAATTTATTCATCCATATGTGGTAATAGATCATTTTGTATATTTCGATGATGACATCTGGAATGATCGTTCAAATGTTTATGCTGCAGTGTTAAGTAAATAAGAAAGATATTTTTTAATTGGATTGATTTATTATACATAAATAATTAATTTAAATTGATTCGATTGTGATAACTATTACAACATTTTTATACAAATAATGCCATGAGCCTACAGACCTAAAATTGTTTTATTGTGTGTCGGAGAGGAAATGTGTCATTAGCTTTTACCAAAATGGGTTAACGCAAGTTTTTATAAGATGGTTAAGATAAATATTTCGGATATTTAGTTTATGTAATAAAATTCACATTTATTATTATTTATTATAGTTTTGTGAGTAATTGATGACATGAGTAAAAAAAAGTACTACGAAAATTAAAAAAAAAGCAATTACGTAGATTTATAAAAATTTCTTTTAATTTAATAAGAAAATTAGAAAACGTGATGTAAGTTTTAATCGATTCGTGACTAATATTTTGTTTCATTTGTGAGAAAAATTGAAAACAATTACTATTTATGCAATTTTTGGTTAAAGTTTAGAAGCTTACGAAAGTTATCTATCACACCCATTTTTGATGTACCCGCTGCATGAGTTTGGTACTCTTTCTAAATTACTGACCAGACTAAAAATTAACTTTTGCACATATGGTTTGTTTGAATGCTAGTGAAAATGATTAGAAAATATCTGAACTGGTTTGGTTTGATTCAATAACATAAAAATGTCGAAAATTTCTATTTAAAATCGGATCTGAACCGACTGTTTTACGGATAAAACAATGTTAGAAAGCATCTCTTACAGTCTAACATAAAGAATAATTCATTAAATTTGAAAAAAAAATAAAATAAAATAAAGTTCTATAGTTTTAGAAAGAATTTTAATTAATACTATTAAAAATGGCGCTAGAGCCTCATCCAAGAGCAACATAATTGTATCTAAACATGTTATAATGTATAATATTAATATTAAGTTACTTGTTGACTCTAAGCAACAAAAATATGTATGACAAAGGCTTATTCTATGTCTCCTGTTCACATCCGCCATACTACATCATGCTTTCATTAATCTGAAACAATTATGCTATATGTAATTTATACAGAATTATTTATTCAGTAGTTCCAAAAGTAAATATAAATAAAATACATGTGTGATAAGATTTTTGATAAATTTTTTTTCAACACATTATTTAAAGCTTGTTATGAGAAGTCCAATAGAATATTATGCAAATATTCTCTATAAGACATCTTACAATAGAGAAACATTAATGACAATGGACAAGTATAGTATGTGCATTGTACAATATCCCTAAAAAATTAAATAAAAATTTGATTTGAATCCATTTTTTTATATGGTAACCTCATTGAATTGCAACCAACCTTATACTGTTATAATTTTCAAAGTGATGGAAAACTGCATCCATATATCGTATAACAACAGTTTTTTATTGGCCAATATTTTTATTGTGGTTGCACTTATATGTAACAGTTTGATAGCGTTATAACACATTGGTCGATAAGTCCGTAGGATGACACATTGGTAGCAACACATTTGAAAAATGTATATAAAGCTTTAAAAGTGACAACTTTCAAATGATACCTGCCAAAATTTCATGACAAATACATGATGACTCATTTAGTTACAACGGTTTTAATTGTTGAACGTTGGTTTTCAGTCTTTAAACCCGACTATAAGAACATCGAACGTAAAAACAACTTTATCTTGCATGTCCATTTGTATATGAGAAAATTTTTGCCGCATTGGCTGACAATTGACTAAAAATGACAACGTTTCGATAAGAGCGATATGTAACAATGGATGAAACTTGGATCTACCCTAAAAAATTACTACTTTTCCGCTGACCTCAAAAAAATGCTATAGGAAAAGAAAGTTTGTTTTTGAAACTGATCCATATTTTAAAATCAAAAATGTATCACTTTACAAAAGAGGTATTGAAATATTATAAAAGCACTGAAATGATTGTACAACCCTTGAAAGAGACTATATGAATTTAGCCAAAATATTGTGTTTTTGTGTCATTGGTTTATCTCACAGACTTAATAGGCGATAGGTTATTAGAGCGATAGCTCGTTCTGAAGAGAAATAGCGCTTCAAATCTTTGTGATACAACTTGGAAAATATATCAATAATAATTACTTATGACTATTTTAATAATCACAGAATATTTTTCAAGGCATTTCTTTAACCTTCCATAAAGCTGAAGAACAGGTACCGTCCTTACCGCTTACCGTTCTTTCTTCAATAAGAAACCACAATCTTTCATATGTAAAATTTTGCAGTGTATCTTAAAAAAATCCTTCAAGTGCATATTTAATCACGCACAAGACATAGGCTAGACAAAAACTACTTAAAAGTGACTGATGTGAAGAGGATAATGAAAGATTTAAGTACACATTGCGTATACGCAACATTTCTTTCACTATTGTTTGTTTTCATTAAAGCAGAGAATACACAAAAGCTGGCTGGGAAGATTTGCATTTTCTAATTTCCAAGTACGTAAGCGCCTTCTTGAATGGCGTGACAATTCAGGGTTAAATTGAAGATATTTTCAACACCCAGAAACACATACATTTTTGAGATGAACACGCATACATACCATACAATAGGTGGTACAAAGACAGGAATGGCATAAAGGAAAGTGTGTAAATATTCACGTTGGCACGCATAAAAGTCAGTGCAATGAGAAATGCATTCTATGCTGGTAGAAATGCATTTGCTGATAAAGCACGTGGAAGTCAAATGACGTTGACGTTGCTATCGTAGAAACCATTGGGGATGCAGTATGTTCTAGTGCAGTTTGCAGTTGGTAATTGTACTTGTACTTGTTTGTAGACAGTTCTAATTTTTTTTCAGAGTTTTTTTCTTCTTTCTTTATTTGGTGTAAATATCACGTGACACTTTAGACACCTTGTGGTTTAATAAAGAACGTCAGATGAGTTATTTGGTTGGAAACGAGATTTTGTTTCACTTGAAGCAAAGATGTATATAATTCTTTTGTAGATATAAGCTGGTATTTATGTAAATAAAAACCAAATGAAGTAGGACTGGTGTTAATGTTTATATTGTATGATATGAATAGATTCATAGGTTAATTGCATGTATTTTTCTAGGTGACTATAAAAGAGATTTGTTTAATACAGTAAGAATAAATGACAAGAGAAGTTTAATTAAACAGGAAAAATTGTATTTATTATATACATATTATTTATTATATAAATTACTTTGTTACTGATTAACAATAACAATAGTGGCTTTTTGGAGGCATTATTTATTATGTAGGAGTATTGCCCTTTACTCAAAAAGTATTGGAATTTGTGATTTAATATTTTTAATTTTACTATGATGTGATTTTTTATTTAACTAAGTTTTTCTATGTATTCAAGGTCGCTTCTTGTTATACATTACTTTAAGTAATACAACAAAAAAAATTTAAAACAACATTAATTTAATTTGTTAATATCCAGTAAAAATTACAGTTTATTTATTTATAACTGATATTATTTATAACTCCTATTTTCTTACCGAAGATGTATACGCTTTAACTTCATAGTAATTCATCATCATTTTATTACTAGTAATAAATCTTCGCATATTAACTATGTATTCTTCGAATAGTCGGTGGGGTAAAGCTTATCTACATTTTCCAATTCTCTACTTACTATCACAGCTGTTAGAAGCAGACGAGACTTCCAGTTACATGCTTTGTAATTGTTCAGCTTTGATCTGGACCATGTCTTGTGTTTGATTAGAGTCTGTTGCAGCACAAAACACTATGGTCTATGGTCGCAGTGCTCCGTTCCGTTAGGAGCCGGTACTCTGTTTATTTCTATTCTATTCTATCACAGCTGTTATCTAAAACTAATCGACAGGTGGAGCTAAAAGTTGACTTAATTGTATTACCAATATTACTACAAGTTAGGAAGAC